TCCTCTGTATGATTGTATATGAAGTCTATTGTCTGGCATCGGAGGAATGACTAGGAGGATGGGGCTGTTAGTAAATCAATCGTTATGTCTCTGGATGACACGCCTGACAAACACTTAGACGAGCATGTCACAGCACTGGCAGCGTATGTGAAGTCGTACCAGAGGAGCGGGGCACAAGACGTGTACAGGAAGGAAGGTACATTGCCAATATGGCGAAGGAGTGTCACGGGCATTTGGTAAGATGATTTTATCGTGAGTCTTAAGAAGAAATGCTGTCAAATCTACAATAGTAGAGGCGACTAAACTCTTTTCACATCCGTAAGAAATCTCTGCTAAAAGCAGAGTCGATTGTACAACCGTGACTACGTATATCATGAGTACGTGTAAGTTCCAGCAGTATTACAGCTGCGCGGTGTTGTTTGTAAACAAATCGTGTCTGGACCAGACAATCCAGTGATTGTCACCATGCGATACGATGACAGAACATGTGTTTATGAATCAAAATGAAATAGTGATGAAACAAGGTGTTCGCGAAAAGGTGGCACCGGTCATACGCATATACAAAGTCTAGACAATTGTTCACCTGAAATAATTCAGGAACATATGGTAACGGTACGATTTCGCCCAGTTTAAACAGTTTTCTGCTGTTAATCTCTAATAACTGTAATGTCAAACTATGATACCATAGGATGCACACGTTGACCAAACGCTGACCTATTCCTAAACACACTGATACTGACCTTCACCTATGTAAGTTGACCCGACACTGGCCGGCTACATGCGAAATAATGTGAGTATTTATAACGCGCCTTTCCAGGCTTCATATCTTGCTGGGGCGGTACGGTAGCCTAGTGGTTAAAGCGTTCTCTCGTCACACTGAAGGCCCGGGTTCGATTCCCAACATGTGTACAATATGTGAAGCCCATTTCTGGTGTGCTCCGCCGTGGTATTGTTGGAATATTGCTATAAGCGGCGTAAAACCAAACCCACTCACTCATATCCTGCTCAAAGCGCACAATCTGAGTATTATTATCCCAGATAACCCAAGCTGCGTGTGAGGCGCTAGAAGGTTAATAGTCTTATGACTTATTCCAACGGGTACCCATTTTCTGATGGATGAACAGAGGCAATTTTGAACAAACTCACTTGCTTAAGGTGAGACCACATGTATCACATATGCTTCGTTGTGGGGCAGGACTGAAGTCCAAGAAACTCTCTGGAGTCAAGCTGCCAGACACGGTCACCCATCCAATGACTCTCCAAACCGCTGCCATGTTGCTTGAATATTGCTGAATGCCGCATTAAACAACAACAACAACAAACAAACAGAAACCAACCCGTGGGTTGGAATATCGGATCGCACCCTGACGTTTCAAGGATTTCTAACACAATACCCTTGCTAATAATGTTTATTACGAACGCTGTAAACGTCCAAATCATGTTGGCTTGATTGTGCAAAAGAAGGCGAAAGTAAAAAACATTGAATCTTTAAAATTATTTTGTTTATATTAAACCCCTTGTCCAAAAGTAGTAGTGGTGACACGTTGATCCCGATTGTCTACCAAGTTGATCCCGATTCTACCAAGTTGATCCCGATTGTCTCCCGAGTTGATCCCGATTGTCTACCACGTTGATCCCGATTGTCTACCAAGTTGAAGCCGATTGTCTACCGTGTTGATCCCGACTGTCTTATAGTTATGAACGTCGATACACACCACCTCCACCCCGACTACAACATAACCTTTACGACGTGAGCAAGCACTGGAGCATGTAGAAGTAATGAAGTCACACCGTCGGAATGGATGTGTACTCAGGACTCGATCCATGGTGTAGCAACCAGCTGCTGTATCTGTGTCTGTATGGGAACTATCACTGTGACACATATACTCATTAACACGCAGGGCTCCAGATAATTTTTCAACATCAGGAGTACGTACTTCTTATTTTTTCAATATAGGAGTATTGGATAAACTTAAGAGTACATTTTGAGTACTGAATGGAATTTAATGGCGTATCAGTAATCTTGTGTTTCGTTTCATATATGCACCACAATATTGCTACTCTTGTGTAAACAGGTCAATAAACAATAAAACAACACTCTTTCAGATACGTCTGTAAATGATTCCAAGACCGTACACCATTGCTGTGGTTCGTTGGTGCTACGTTTTCTAAATTATTTCCTACCGTATCGTGCATATTTTTTTATCCGTACATACGCCGATACGGTCCTTATCTGGAGCCCTGAACACGTATATCTTCTTCTTTTGTGAGAACTGGTGTGTTTTTAACAAAATATATCTGATGTGAAATCAGTTTCCTGTGGGACTTCTTGTACCGGATTATTTCAGAAACATCTGATAACTTATGAGTCCCAATTTATTTAATCAATAATTTAACACCAATAAACACGCTGTTTATCACTGGATTGTCTGGTCCAGACTCGATTATTTACAGACCGCCGCCATATAGCTGGAATGTTGTTGAGTGCGGCGTTAAACAACAAAACAGCCAACCAAGTTTAGTATTGTAAACTGCGACGAGGCGCCAATTGTGTTCAATAACGTCAATATTTACTTGTGACGCGGTCGCGGGTTCGATCCCCGACCGCGTCATACCAAAAGACGTTAAAATATGGTTCTTGTTGGCCCCTGGCTGTCGCCCGGCATTAATGGATACAACAAGGACTGGTCGGCTCGGAGTCAGTATAATGTGTCTGAGTGGGGTGTTCATGCTTCACTGCGGCATGGTATCTCAGTGCTAGCACTATAAAACCAGCTTCAGTCTGGGCTAGTACAAGCAGCCGCACATACACATACATACACACGCATGCACGTTGTCATATGAGCGAAATATTCTCAAGCATGACGTAAAACCCAATTTCCGGAATGTTTATTAAATAACCATTGAAATTCGGATGAAAATGAAGTGTGCAGGCCTCCTTTTCTCAGTAGTGTGCATCCCACACCCCACCCCCCCCTTCTCAAAAAGCAGTATCCGCCCCTGATTTCCACTTCCATCTTCAGTGATTTAAATGTTTAGTCCTAATATATGTGTAAATGCGTGTGAATGTGTGTCAGTGGTGTATATGTTTTGTTCACATCATAAAATGTATTTCCTCTCACTGAAACTCATTTATTCTGAAGTAACTCTCTGCAGCTTGTTCCTGTTTCAGCCTAAGTTATTGTATCTATAACGAAAAAGTATCCAATTCAAATGCTCAGTTCCTGACTTCGTGGTACCCTGGCTCCAGAGCCTTCCACCTGTAACAGGGCATGCAGAAATGTTAAAATGTCAATTACAGCGTGGGTGGTTAGTCTATTTCATAGTCCCTGAATCGCACTGTTAGCTCTACTGCCTTGTCCTTTCTGCAATGCTAAAGCCGTAAATGAAGTCTAAATTTCCTTAGTTCCGAATCACCAGTCTTACTGAGGCTCCGTTTCAATTTAAACATAATTATTTGTTTCTCACAAAATTATGTATATTTAGAGACTCTGCGTTAGTCTATGTGGGTGGTGTACGAAGTGTGAATAAATACTTATCTTTTAGTCACGAACAGAGCGTGTCGTTTCTTGAATGCTTACGTTTGGGTGCGGGTGATATCACCAATCGAACGCGACACGGTAAACATACCTATAAACTCAACTGCTATTAAGGAAGAGAGTTTTTATTGATGTCAACTTCCGTATTATGAGGTGTTCCTCAAAATACAAAGTCGACACCCATACAAACTATCTTCCTTGTGTTTCTACAATGATCTAAATGAGAGTGTTTGTCATGTGTACTGGGAATGTCAGGAGACACAAACTTTTGGAAAAACCTACAAATTTGGCTTAACAATTTATACCCCATCTATTGCTATTATCAAAACATATGGTTCGGTACTCTACATCATAATATATAACTAAATCACATCATCACTGCAGCAAAAAGACACATTTACGTATGCAGTATTAAAAATACGCATCCAAACATACTCTATTATAAAAACTTTGAAAGAAATATTCTTTGTGGAAAACCATATATGCAAAAGAAATAATAAAATAGAAGATTTGAATCATAAATGGGGTCTTCTCTTCCCCAGTACTTTGATGAATATAAAATGTATCCAATTTACCTGAGATCATATTTATCTTTTATTGACTTATATATGTGTATTACATATATAGACATAGTACCTGTACATCATCCATCTGTCTGTACATCACTGTTCTACATATGACATTGCAATCCTGGGAACCAATAAAAAAAAACAAATAAAAATCGAACAAAAAAACTATCTTCCTTATGTGTATCACGTCTAAATACCATTCAAAAACCCGTAACTGCGATTCTAACGCTTGTCTATGATAAACGGAAGTGGCATACGCGAGTTGTATGACAATGCTAATTACACACATGTATTTCATGAAACACGTTTGAGATTTCATGTAGATTACGTATAGTTATGCGCGGGTCTGTTGAAACTACGACACAAATATTAGCTGGAGTCTTAGACTGCCATCGAGCCTCCCTTTAGACGTAGATTACAGGAGATACGATCTAATCGAACATACACTATCGACAGTCGTATCGCCTTTGTGGAGCCTGATTCTGCTGGCAGGGTTTGCAATCAAAAGGTTTTAGTTCAATGGGATATTTCGAAAGCTAAATCTGAAAATAGATATCTATACCTAGGGATGGAAAAAATAATTCAAATACACTAATCGTTGTAAGTCGTTCCTCGATCTCAGAAAAACTAAAACATATTTTCGAACATCTATTTACACTAGCCGAGAGCCGCGATGCGGTCCTATACAGTCAAGACATCACCCTGCATCGCGATCATGTCTTGACTATATAGGACCGCATCGCGGCTCGGCTACTATTTACACCAACTACAGTACGCACCATTAAAGTTTGTGCAAACCGTTTCAAGTTGTTTAAAACTATTTTCCTTATGGGAAGCACTCGTAAAATATTCTCACCGACTCACAACTAATTATTTCTGCTTTTCGTTTCAGAGGAAAGAACTCCAGATTTTAACAAAGAGCAATTTTGTAAGTATGACTCGGAGTGTTGTCAATATTCATGCAGCATTATAAAGATGTAACTTGGCCTTTGTTTCATTGGTGTGGGGAGTCTGGGGTGAAACCTGTCAAGTATTCTCTGGGATGGGGGACACATTGATCTGGCTGAATGATTGAAGGTCATAGTTACCTGAGGCAGCCTACCCAAGTCTGGTACAGGATTATGGTTCTATCTAGAAGGTATTGGGACCTAGGTTATGGGCCAGCGGGACTTATTGAAAAAAATGTTTGGTAGGCAGATTCGAATTAAAAAGAATGGGTACATAAAAGTTTCATTTAAAGATATATAATTTTCTTGAAATCGACCTTTTTCTCAGGTTTGTGACGAGTAGTACTACTGACTGAAAAGTGAGCAATCACGACTCACTTTGTTTGTATGTTGTTGTTTTTGTTTGTTTTGTTTGTTTTTTGTTTGTTGTTTTACGTTGCACTCAGCCATATTCCGCTATATGGTAGTGGTCTGTAAATAATCGAAGTCTGGACCAGACGTCTCGTGATCAACATCATGAGCTTCGGATTCACATAATTGGGATCACGATGACATATATCAACCAAGTCAGCGAAGCCTGACCACCCCGGCCCTGTTAGTCGCCTTTTAAAGAAAATCATGGGTTGCTTAAGAACAATTTTAACAGGACTTTCACGCCATAAAAATGAAACATTTTACTTGTAATAAGACCCGTACCCTATCTATGTTCAAATGAATATGGCATCCTGATTCTTGAGGAAAGGGCGATTACCTCGAGACCATAAGGTTGGTGACAAGGGGATCGGGTGGTCAAGTTGGTTTGCCTAATTCAAGTCATCGTATCCGTTTTGTGTATCTGCTATTAATGTTGTCAATCACTGGAATGTCTGGTCCAGGCGTCAGTATAGCTGGAATATTGTTGGGTGAATCGTTAAACAAGAAACAAATAGTAAATAGTCCACGTCATTTCTTGCAGGTCGTACCCGTGAAGGTCCGGGTTAGAATATTGATCTTCAGTAGCCCATGCTAGTCGTGAAATGACTAAAGGGATCGGTGGTCAGGCCCGCTGACTTGGCTGACACATGTCATCGGTTCCCAAATGCGCGAGATCGATGCTCATGCTGTTGATCACTGGATTGTCTGGTCCAGACTAAATTACTTACAGGCCGCCGCCATATAGCTGGAATATTGCTGAGGGCGTGAAAACTAAACTCACTCACTCACTCTTGCAGGTCGCATGGGCATCAAGCCCCACTTCTGCAACTTCGACGGCTCAAGGGTGCAGCTACATGAACGTGGACATCAACACCTACACCAACAGCCGCCATGGCTGATGGCGGTGATGACAATGACGATTATGACAATGGCACGATTGGTTGAGTCGACCCGATGGAATATCTCTTGGTCAGTGGCGACACCATCAGCTCATCCAGGTATGACAACAACTGTTCATGATGATGTTTATCATACTGATAATAGAAGTGTATTGTTGTGGCTAAAGTTTCAATGGGACGTGCATAGAATGTAAAAATATATATATGTAATTTTAAAATAATTTCGACTTTATACTGCAAATTTGCCCAAAGTGGCTATTTATTCGTTAAATAAAATTAACAGGACACTATCAAGATGATATATTGTTCAACTGGATATCAGTATTTTTAAACATAATTTTAGATGAAACAGCAAAATTGTCAACAGGGCAAATATTTAAAAAACAAAAGATAAACAGAATGATATTATATCAATAACTTTGATGAAATGGTTTTCAGTTCTGTAGAATTCAATTAAAGTTTTGAAAAGGCCATAAAACTACACCAGTTAGAACCAGTTGGAAGGAAACCTGTAGAGAAAAACTTTGTCCACCCAAGGAAATGTTAGCAAGGGTAAAAATGAATTTTCCAACTTTGCCCCAGGAGTGGTAATGAGGGACGGGCCAGGCTCCCGAAGTTCTGTGGGGATGGGCTGGAGGATGACATGTCAAGTAAACTAAACACGGACGCCTTGCCACGGTCACTCTACGGTCAGTGCATGTTCATTTGTCCCAGCGGACTTAATGCAAGTTCCATATACTGGTACACTGTTAAAAAGTAAGGATCCTGATTATTTTCCATGCATTTATTTTTGCAGTGAAGACTGAGTTTCATTGACTGTATATACAAATATTGAATGATCTCTTACTGGTTTGGTTCAGTACATATAAGTGCTTATAAGATGTAGAAAATACAAAAGGCTGTTAATTTTAACAATTGATATGTTAATGTGTATTTACAGAATGTATATGTTACATCATTAAATGATATTTTTATTCATAATATTGTTGAAAGAATTCATATAAGGCCATAGATTGTTGAAAGAATTCATATAAGGCCATAGATTGTTGAAAGAATTCATATAAGGCCATAGATTGTTGAAAGAATTTATATAAGGCCATAGATTGTTGAAAAGAATTCATATAAGGCCATAGCTTTTTGACAAAATTCATATAAGGCCATAGATTGTTGAAAGAATTCATATTAGGCCATAGATTGTTGAAAGAATTCACATAATGCCATAAATTGTTGAAAGAATTCATATAAGGCCATAATACTTTGTTATTTGTTTTTAATCCAAATTTTTAAAAGAATTGGGGGCATTAAATTATCAACATTTTCTTTTATAAATGACTGCATACAAATTGTTTCTGTATATTCCTGGCAATAGATGGAAAAAAAAAATATGGGAAGGCAACACGTTGTTTATTGTTGTGACTGAACGGTACACACAGTGATATTCTTCATCTGGAGAGGCAATAACTTTATATAAGGGGAGAGTTTGGTAGTCAGACTGTCAGGAATAGAAATGTAATAATTGATTTATTATGGCCTTGTAGTGTATACAATTCTCACGATAAGTACCATTTGCGTGTGTGAATTGAGATTCTCATAATATACATTTCTTTTTCTCATCACTTTAAATAGAAATTTGTTGATTAATGAACTTTAATAATCCTTTATCTCAGCAAGAATATTTAGTCGTTTGGTGATGAGAAGCAGATTTGTGTGTGACATGTTTTTGGTGTGTTGCTAAAACTCCAGTGTGCCGTCTAACACTTGTAGGGGCTAAGATTAACACTGACTTGGACGGAGAGACGGGCAAGGACAGGCTCAAAGCCAATAAAGAAAATGGTAAGACTGGCATCTAATGTGCCCTAATAAGTTCAAGATATCTACAAATATATCAGTTAGCACATGCCATGTGACTGTCAGCCTGGATTTATGTAGTATTTATCCATCCCCCCCCCATGCCATCGTATCCCAAACTGTGTAGATCGATGCTCATGCTGTTCATCACTGGATTGTCTGGTCCAGACTTGATTACTTACAGACTGCTGCCATATAGCTGGAATATTACTGAGTGTGGCATTCAACAACAAAACAACCAGCCAATCATGCCCCAGGTTATTTAAGCTATCATCCTTCATGCCATACCAGTTTGGTAAGGGAGACAACTCCTGTCATACCTGACTGCAAGATTAACAAATAAACTCATATGTACACACATTAATCAGTGTTATATTTAATGTTTTCTGCAGTATTTGATTGCTTAATCCTTCTACTTTGAGAGTGAATATTAAGATAACCAAATTTGTTGTGAATTTAATTTTTTTTTTTTTTTAACAAAACTCTAATTTGACAAAAATACATATGAATGAGAACCTTTTAACCATATCTAAGAATGTGCATCTATTAATATCTAATTACTAAAACCTATCTTGTGGAATTCATATTTTGGACATAAAGTTTTAAATCCCTTATTTATTAGTTATACTTTGATCTGTGATCCATATAGCGCTGATACAAGTGTTATATCATTTGCTGGTATTACAGAACTGCGGCCATATATACAGATTCCGATCCCGGAACCCCTGTTGATCCAAAACCACCATGGAGAACCACGGTAAGAGTAACGGACCCGGTCAAGCACCGGTAGTTTGGTATTCCCCTTTTTATCAAGAATACCCAACTTGCTTTATTATATAGTCCTTGCATAAGGAATTCTATTTAGATTGAGTTGGTTTATGAGATGAACTGACACAGAAAAGGAAATACATATATATACATATATGACTTTTAAAAATTTGTTTTTGTAACTGTTTGACAGTTAGGTGAAATGAATAAAAAACACAACATGAGATGTTATAACTTTCGTTCCTAAGAAATGGTTCAGTTTACATTTAAAAACTAAACTTTTTTCTGGCTAAAAGGAAAGCAGTTAACTTTTGGTATAATTTCGAAATTATACTTCCAGGATGAACTATGAGTTTGTTTTTTGTTCATAGTAACAGTACTAACCTAGAAGTTGAACAAAAAATGTCTTTTTTCACCATGACAAATGTTAGGCCCAACTCTGTAAGCAAACTAGTAAAAAATGAAATGGCTAATGAAGGTTCACAGTTGAACTTTCCAAAAACTGCAGTTTGTTAATATGGTACATCTAGTTTTGTATTGTATGGGTTAATAAGTTTTCTTGATCAGTATGGATCAGGTGATCAGGCATAGTGAGTAGAAGTTTAGTTTTACGCCACACTCAGCAATATTCCAGCTATATGGCAGCAGTCTGTAAATAATCCAGTCTGGACTAGACAATCCAGTGATCAACAGCTTGAGCATCGATCTGCTAATTGGGGAACCGATGACATGTGTCAACCAAGTCAGTGAGCCTGACCACACGATTCGTTGAGTCGCCTCTTACACGACAAGCATGGGTTACTGAAGATCAATTCTAACCCGGACCTTCACGGGTCCAGGCTTAGTTACCTAAATGGCAAGTACACTTATGATGAATATTTACATTGTCAGTCACTGGATTATCTGGTCTAGATTCAATTATTTACAGATTGGCATCGTTTAGCTCTAATACTGATGAGTCTGGTGTTAGGCAACACATCTGGTCAAATTGCCAAGCAACAGGAATCAAAATGATGACCAAAAAAGTGTTCAGACCAATTTAAGGTAGATTT